CAGGTCTGGAAGGAAGGGTTCTTTGCGCAAAGAGAAATGGCCAGGAAATTACTTGTTCATAAGCTTTCTTCTATTTATATTCTGTCTTAACTGCCTGATCCTGGGTTCTCTATTTTAAAAAATAAAAATTCTATTCTATAAAGTAATCTGGTTTACTTTGAGGAGCTCACTGTAAAGGAAAAGTTTAAGCAGATCCACTTTAAAGTTTTGTTTTATATGTGTAAATATAAGAAAATTATCTAGAAATAAATCATGTAAACTCATGTAACTTTCTTATACAGCCGAAGCCTTTATTACACCTTTTACACTGAATATTTATCAAAACATGTGAACAGAAGCAATCATGTAAAAGGAAAACAACTACAACTTCTTTTTGTCTAGATTATTACTAAACAAAGTTTAGGATATAGGTTCATGTAAAATGAAAACAGTTACAGCTTCTTTTTGTCTAGATGATTACGAAATAAAATTTAAGACATAGCTTCTTTATAGTCTTGTTTTGCTCTCTCATTGATTTATACCTAATCTTCATTTCACTTGGATCAAGATTTAATTAGATAAATGACCAGACTTTACATATTAGCCAAAATGTACTTTTGGGTTAACTCCTTCAATTTTATTTATTTTCTTCTGTTTTTTCAGCTTTTAAATTTTAGTTCATTTTTTATGGAGTTACTTCTAATATTTTGTTGCACGGGTTCAGCTTACAAAATAAACTAAAGAAGGTCTCTTTAGGTCTCATAACAAATTATTAAGTATGTATTAATTTATTTATACTAGCTAAACAGCCAGTCTTAACTCATTCTCTCTCTCTGAGCATACATGCTGGTCTGTAGTATGACCATCCCACAGTAGCTTTTTCCACTTGTTTAACAGGGAAGAAGCAACGTATTAATACTGTATCATTTTCCTAAATATTTAACTAGTGTTCCATCTTTTTATCACTGTTATGGATTACTGAAGTTTTAAGAAAATTAAACTAATGCAGGTTCCTATTATGGAAATAATTTAGTAGTCAGTTGCTCCAAGTATAAAATTACAATCCACTAAATTCTGGGCATTGAGTGTGTCAGGGCATGAACTCTGGGTTCTGTTGTGCCCTGGCCAGAGCACTATAATTTTCAAATTTCCACTTCTCTTCTTCTAAATCTTCTGAAGCAGGAAACCTTTTTCTTGTGTGCCTTAACACTTTCTTTTTTTTTCTTTCTGGGAAGATGCATGGTGGTACTGAATGAAAAAAGTATTCTGACTAATGAAGTAGACACTGAATAACTGGATTTACACGGAGTTTTAGACATTTTTATATGCTTTTGTTTCAAATGCAGGTTAGATACACCTGCTTTATTATCTCAGAATTAAATATATGCTATGTAACTGAAAAATCACATTTAATGATAAAATAAAATGGCAGGCTTTTATATCTCTTGGTCATCCATATTTCTGCTCTGTCAGTGAATAGGGAAGGAAGCAAGAAAAATAAAAGAAGGTAAAAGAAATAGGAGGAAAACAAAAGAGAGTGGTAAACTCGTATTCTTTAGGGTTTGTTATCTGTACAAACCTTCACACAATATGAGAATATGAGTACAGAGGCAGTGCTTCCAAGACCTGTTAAACTATTCTACCGTGGAGGGACAGTCAATCAGTTTTCTGTTTTATACAGCCACCTATGCTGGGTGACAGCTGTGTGTTTCACTTGAAGGCCCCAGAGTTCAGATATCCCAAGGCAGAAGGCTAGACTATCCTACTGTGGATGTTTAGTGGGTTTGGGGTTTTGCTTTTGTTTTTAGCAAAGGTCAGATGATGTAAGAGGAAATGTTATCATCAAAGAACATGAAACGTTCTGTGTTCATTGTCAGTGCTTTTGACATCCGTTGTAGAAGTGATTTGACATACCGTATGAAATAGACCTGTGAATATACTATTGTGCCTGTCACAGAGTGCTTGCAGATGGAGGTGTGAGTAGGTGCACAATGATTCATATCCTAAAATAAAAGTCCAAATGCACAAAACAGTGAACCTATGAAAAAGTGCTTTGCTCCACTCTCCGATCCAGTATGTTAGAGAGTTTCATATAAACCAAAAGTATACATTTCTTGTTTTCTTCCTAAAAAAAGCTAACAATTAACTTCCTCAAGCCACAGTATTTGAATTTTGTGCTTAGAAGAATGCTTAAATCATACCAACAATGCAACAGACAAATTAATTCCAAATCTGCTTTGATATTTAATGTTTGGTGTTTTTATTTCCTCCCTAATATTAAGTCAGGCAACATTTTCTGCTTTTAAGTGCTTTTTTAGTACTATAGCAAGGTCCCTCCATTGTGTCTTCCAGTCTGCACAAGCTGCAGACTCAGATTAGTATTTGCTCCCTCAACTGGACTCTTTGAAAGGGTCTGCAAAATGAGCTTGCTTGTTTGCTCTTAGAAAAGAAATTTATCCCGTCTTACCTCTATTCCAAGGCACCTGTCAGGCTCATCTTTGCACAGAGTACAGCACTGAGCACAGAGTACCCATGCAGCTTTTTATTTGTTGCATCACTACCTAATCTCTTTAAAGATTCATGCAGAATTAAACCCACAGAAATTAAATAATTTTTAATCAGACTGTGTGAAGATGCAATCCAAGCAGAAGATACCATTTAACACATCCTCACCCAAAAAAAACCCTCTGTGACAGTTTGAATTGGTTTTATATAAATTAATTTTGTGTCTATGTTAATTTGAGAAGAGATTGAGTTGAGCTGGTGAACAGTAAGTGAAAAAGATTCCTGTTCTAGAGCCACTGAGTGTACTGGGGAGGAAAGTCCAGGTGACTGAATGTGGCAAAAAAAAAGGGATAGAGAAGATGGGTGTGGCAGCAAGGGACAGAGAGATAACAGCTGAAGCAGAGATTGAAATACTGATAGGAGAATCAGGCAATAGACCCACAACCAGCTGTTCATGCTCACAGATGGAAAAAACTTCTAGAAACCAGACAGAAGGACCTGCTGTACACTGACACACGGGGCAGTTGGTCTCTTATGAATAATTATTTTATTTTTGTATTGTCTTGCATAGTAATTTTCAGATTTTTCTCTTTTAGTTTATTCTTGTTCTTAAACAAAACAAAACATAACATAAACAAAACATAAATATTCTGAGTTTCAAAGCTGTTTTGAACCTCCTTATAGATATCGGGTAATGAAACAGTCTAAACAGATCTCCCTTAATGCCTTATATTTGTGGATCATGTGTTTATATTTTAAAAGGTTCCTGTTAGAATATTTTCCACTTTGTAATTGTTTAAAACAATTGCATTTTTATAGCTTTAGTAGGTGCAAGAGTAACTGTCAAATGTTTGCTTCTGTTTATATGGGAAAGGTATAATCATCTTTTGGCTCACTGTTTTGCTCATGTTTAGAAGATTACATCCCTTTCTGAATATTTACTGTAGCCCTGTTCTTAGGAAGAGGCAAGGTCTTGATCTACCAATAAATGACTGGCTGTCCTATCCCTCACAAATTTTAAAAGCACATCAAACATGGCCAACTCAAATTCTTTGGAAGGAAACACAAAAAAATTGATTCCAACAGTTCTTGTTTTCTATCATATTCCATCCTGTAACAGCAGTGGGAAGACAGGAGAACTGGAAAAAGTAGTTTTTGAAAAAGTGATTTTTCTGTTGCATCATTTCAAGTTCATAAGTAACTAAAATGCAAAAGAACGAGAATCAAGGAGACTCGGACATTTCCCCTCTGTTCTTGGAAGTCCAGACATGTCCAGTAAATAATTAGTTTTTATATTTTCTGACCACTAATAAAATTATCCTCCACTTTAATTGGTTGGGAATTTGGTTAGTTTGCATTTTTGCATTCATACTTTTTACCCAAAGTATATGCCATTTTATCATTAATGTAAATTCGCTTTTGCTACACTACTTGATCTTTCTGAACCATTAGTAAGGTATCTTTTAATATTTCATATGGCAAAACTTCTGTTTCATAGGATCATTTTGGTTGTAAATGACCTCTGATATCATCTGGAGTTACACATCCATACAAACTGATTTTAGCTATTTTTACTGTTTACCACATAATTACAGTATTTCGGATAAATTCAGTTTACCATACTGGCTAGAGTATTCTTGTTCCTTAAATACCCTTTGGGTACTAAATCCTTATCACAATCGTTAGACATCTCACAGACTTAAAAAATATCTGACAGGGCCAAATGGCTTCTGTGTCCTTTTTAGTCAGGGTGAATTAGTTAAACTGATAGCTGATAGTCATTGTCTTTTCCACCATTGTGTTCTTGTACTTTGAGGAATATGCAGATACTCTTGAAATCTTGTAGGTATACACAGAACTTTTTTCAACAAAATTAGAGAGAAAAAATAGAATGGATCAAAATGGCAGAATATTCAAACCACAATTTATCTATCTTTTTCCATAGCTTTTTCATGCTGTAAGTTTGCAAGTACTTCTAGTTAGTCAAGTATGAGTGGACTCTGACAATGTGGAAGATAAATATGTTTGCTTAGTTACCTTTACAGGACTACGTCATCGGTCATTGACTTTCGAACTCCAATTGGAAAGGAAGTTGGCAGGTTTTGGTGAAGAATGGGGCATCAGCATTTTTGAACTGTGAATAGGGAGAGAAAGATTTAATTTTTGTACAAATGCCATGTATCTCCATAATTAAAGTTACTGTTCATTATGCTAATGTATTCTAATCTTATGTTTGCAACAGAAATATTTTTTATTATTTTGCACATAGATTTTTGACTAATGCTTATTTCTCATTTATTGTAAACTCTGCTGTCATGAATATTTAGAGTCCAAACAGGTGTTGGGAGTCTAGTGTTTCATTTGTGTTCCACAATTTTAAGCTCAGTGAATTTCGGTCTATCCCTTGTAAGATGTCAGTTAAAGTAGTCAGGAGGGCAATTCAGAAATATATCTTATTCTTTCTCCATTCTCATGAAAAATTTTGCTTTCTCTTTCCCTTCTTTGCATTTAAATAGGAAGACAGCTGCCTTCAGATGATACAGAACTCACTGACAGTTGCTCTTGTTTCAGTCCTACTTCATGAGAACTTCAGAGGATACTAACTGAGGTATTTGTTTTTTTCATTTTTAGAATTTTTACTTTTCAGAAAGTAGATGTGTAGAAGAGCAAGACAAAGGATATCATGAATCTAGACCAAGAAGAGTAATCATATGCGGAAAATAACACAAAGTTCTGTCCATAAAGAGAGCTACTGGCTGATACAGTCTAATCTTTCTATAGCTGGGCACTATGTTAGTCAATATTTTTTTATGAGTTCAGAAATCAAATAATTACAAATATACCAAAAAGAGACATAATAAAATGCCATTTAAAATGTTGCTTTTTTGAGGGTCATGTAACCAGTTTTATCTGATTCTCTGATTTTCTCCAAGAATGAGCAAAAGATTTTGCAGGAAATCCCTAGAATGAATCCCAATCACCTAAATAATGACTAAATAATGAACCTTTCAAGACTATCTATCATTTATAGATTTCTTCCTCTAATACTTAGAAGGAATTTCAATTAAATAGGAGCTTTGGTGTTAACACAACATACAAAGGCTTTCCTCACACTTTATCTTTTATAAATCCCCAGGATTAAATATAAAAGCAGTTTTAAAGCATTGTTAAATATTTTACTATGAAAAATATTTGTCTTTTTTATCAGATATCAGTGAATTAATTCTTTTGTATAGAAAAGAACTTCTCCGTTTGTATATGTAAACAGAGTCTGATAAAGGAGTAATGGCCACTGAATTCATAAAGGGAAAAAACTATCTTGTACGCCTGCAATCAGTTGGATTTGTGTCAGTCCTAAATTTATGATCTGCAGCTGTTGAATGTCTGATAGGAGCTTCATCTTCTGAAGCATGATAACAGTGCAAGGGCATGGCTGGAAAAAAGGAAACATGCTTTGAGAAGTGAAATTGTCCAAACATATGGACGATGATTGCAATGCTTTATATAGCACAAAACTTTTGTTTTGTAAATCTAACAAATGTGTGTTTTAATGCTTTTTAAATTGTGGACATCTACCAGCACAGATTCTAAAATATTGTAGGTTGAACAGAATTGTTGGTTAGTGTTGTGTAGTCAGTCTAATGTAAGCAGTGGTGGCCTGGAATGCTTATTTCTGTGTTTGAGAACTCAAAGCTTAAATGATACTGAAAAAATATGTGTCATAATTTCTATAATTTCATCTTAAAATATATAATATATGCAACTTTTATTTTATATATAGGTCTTAGTATTTATGTGCGTCTGTCTTTTATACCAAGATAGCCTTAACTTTTTGGAAAAATTCATAATTGTTAGTGTAGTTCTTGTATAAAATTTATATGTACTGTTATAGGTATATTATAATATATGTATTTTCTTCTTTTAAAGAGACTTTTTATATGCCAGCCAGTTTAGATTATAGCTAGAATTATGTTAGCAAGAAAATGAAAAATTTTCAAAAAGTCAACTGTTAAAATTCAGTTGAAAGTTACGTATGGATTCAGAGAAAAAAGCAGAAGCCTTTTTTGTTTCTAATTTTGCATTATGTGCTGTTAGCAGCAAACTCTGATAATAGTTTTTACGTGCAGATTCTATGAAGTGCTGCATATTCTCAGATTTCTAATAAAGCAGTTGGCATTACGTGACAGGTTGAGCCATTTCAGTGCACATTATGGATTGGTTATGTCTTAAAGTGGGGCAGTTCATTTCTGGAATCAGTACACAACCATTTTAGCAGTAGAATTAGCCGCTTATGTCACAGATTATAATTAGCTACATCTTTGTGCCAGAGCAACAGGATGGAATGCAAAACACAGCCAAACATGTGAACGAATTTTCTTCCAGTGATATTTGGCCAGGCCTAAAATATCTTCCACTCCAGATTTGAAAGTAGTGGAAAAGTTAGGCAATTCTCTCTTGGAAAGAGACTGATTGTAGTGTATTCAGAAGACCACATTGTTTCAAATCCCTACGGTACGTAACAATTTTTTTAATATTTGTTTTTATATTTGTGTGAAAATATTAACATGTTAATAATTGAGTTTGATTTTGCTTGTTCTTTGCTTATTACATGGTTATATTGAGCTTCTCCCCATCTGATTTTCTGTGAAACACTTCAGGCTGATTTTGTCCTTATTTAAGGATCATTTTTGATGCTTATGTGATTTATTTTAGAGCCTAAATTATGCGTTCATGTTTAATTACAATTATTTTCAATTCTGATAGTTTAATTTTACTGGTTTTTACAATTAAATACAGTATTAAGTTGCATAGTTTAAACTTGCACTTTTATAATATTAAGAAGCTAACTCTTAGTACTTTTTAAATCTTTTACAATATCATATTACTGTATTTATATAAATATATCATTTGCAGTAGTAAACCTCTGATGTTTGGGGCTATAAATTTTTCTCAGTGTATCTATCACATACTGAAAGTTAAATTGAGTCAAGAATGGATCCATGCTTCTGCAGAACACTTCTTTTTGGCTTGATAGTGTGATAATAACCTTCCACCTGAGGAATTGTGACCCAAAATCAGTTCTAACTTCTGTGAAACATACTTGAATTAATATAGGGCATATAATTATGTGTATACAGAACTCCTTTTACAATTCTGTAATCTCCTTGAATTCAAATACATTTTCTCTTGGATAATTTTACTGCCCGAAAGAAAATTACTAACTGGGTATCAGTGGATTACTGACTCCATTATCAAATGATTTGTTGGATGATACTTGGTGTCTTGCCACCGACAGGTGCTTGCACTGCATACTTAATCATGAATGAGAACATAAGTTCCTAAAACAGGATATTGCAAAAGAGTAGGAATGTGATTTTACCAAATCAACACCAGTCAGCTAGGCTCCTTTTATAGAGGTATGGGTGTTTTTACTATTTCTGTCTTAAATCTCCTCCTGCTTGAGGAGAAGGTGATTCATGTCCCAGAAGTGTCCGTCTATCTCCATTTTCTGTGGAGGGGGCATAGGTAAGTATGGCTCATGCTGTCTGTATTTGGAGAGGTGAATTCTAACCTGCATAGCCACTTCCAAATTAGTAATCCATTTGAGTGAACTGTAGTAACTTTGTGCCATAGAGATCTGAAAGTTTGTCGTCCATTAAGATTTTAGAGGTTTTGGTTGTGGTGCAGTCACAAATTATGCCACTTAGGCTGAGGTGAATGTCTATTTATTTTCTAAACAAATTTGCTATTAGTTAGAGACCTCCTTTCAATTATGTATTGAAGAAAAAATGGTCCTAGGATACCACCAAAGGGTAAGAACCACTGTATGGAGTTAAATTAAAATAAAAGGATCTACATTAAGCCCACCATTAGAGAGAACCAATTAAAATCTCTTTTCTAAACCTTTATACTTTTGCTAATAGCATGCAGTTGAAAACTCAATGGTTTAAAGCACATTATATTTTGAGTTTTATTCATAATCATAAGGCTTTAGTAACAATGTGAAGATCCAATATTCATACTTACTGCAATAGGTTTGTAATTATACAGATGTGTGTGATTATACTTAGTGTTGAGAATACTGAGGCAAAATGTATGTTTTAAGCTAAGGGAAAAGAGTTTTGGAGGAGTAGTTGAAAGAAAGAAATGGCTATATTGTATCATACAAAGCCAAGCCTCTGTTAAAAGGCGCAGAAAGTTGGATATACAAAGATCCTCTTACCTGAATAGCCTTGTGAGATTTATTCATTCCTGTGGAAAGTAATGCGTTTTACATGAGATACAAATCCCAGGTCCTGACTTCTTACAGTTTTTAATTATTTTCATGACTTGGAATTAAGTAAGATGGATTTCCTTTGGACTTACTTCTCAAAGTTGATTGTGTTACATGTTTAACAAGCGCTGACTGAAGGGTTTTTGTTACAAAGACATTTACAAGGTCTTTCTCTTATACAGGCTTTCTGATATCTGATAAGGTCTTCTTGCCCATTGTAGTCTCTCAGTGGAGACATAAATGGTGTTTGTTATTTTCCCTGTTCTCTCATTTTCAGAAAGTTTGTAGGAAGATAGTATTTGAGATCTCTACTTGTCTGTTGAATTTGGTTGAAATTGGCCAAGAAACTCAAAAGCTGTTGAAGGAGGGAAGGAAATGAAAGGGAGACAAATGATGTAGTTGTTGACATAGGGTTTGGTTGCTTTTTAATTTATTAAACCAGGATAAAAGCATCATGGCAGTTTGGATAACAGGTTAATTCAATATCCTGGTCAAATTTTCAGCTCGGGTAATAATATTCTCACTATTTAATTCATCCTAACTTTGGCTACCTGGGCCAGTCTTTTCATTAAACCTTTCTGTATATCTGCCAAAAGCTGTTAAACAGCTGCTGCCTTTCACGCCATGGTTGGTTATGTTTCTGTGGTGGATGAAGTACCATGTTTGTATAAGACTGTGAAGAGAAATATAAACTAAAGTACATAAATATTTTTTTTAAATGGAGTGTGGTATGTGCTGGAGTGTTGGATAATGCTGGTATTAGCCATAAAAGGCATGGTTTTCAATAAGGCATGTTTGTTTGTTTGTGTGTGTATGTGTATCCTGAAGGTATGTTTGTAAGAGTCACATATATATGTATTGTCAAGAATGGGTTGTAAAGGTGGAATCATTTGTAGAAATGACTGTTAAAACTCTACAGTTCCCCCTTGTTTATTTGCTGTGATGTCCGTGCTCTGAGGAACAGCAGTGTTAGTACCTCTGCTTCACCTTATGTTTTCTCATAGTGCGAGTGGCAGATACTAAATTTTATACAGCCTTCTTGCATCATTGCCTTCTTAGTTCTGGATACTAGTGGCTTTCAGAAAAAGCTGACTGTAGAGTACAGCAGCCTCTGTTTCATGTTAAAGTTTCATGCAAGTCCTACATTGAATTTCCAAGCCGTTAGACCTGTCTGTGAGGAACATGCAACATTAGTCAGGCATGGCTGCTGATGGAATGAAACGTCTGAAAAGTTCCACTGCACCCCATTTCCTCAGTTTTGAGGAAAAGGAGTTTGAAGTGAGGAGCAGTAATAATTAAATAAAAAACATGTTCTGGTGACTCCAGACTGCTGA